GGGGTTGAGACTTGTTGCAAAATAAATAGTGAACCAAAATTTTTCTAAAACAAAGCTCATTTGATCAATTTGACTGGACGGACTGGACAAGCTGAAGGTTTATAAATTGTACACTCTTCTTACACAGGTTTCTGTTAAGTGAACGTTCGTGCGAGCCTTTTTAATTGATTTTTAAATTTGAGCAAAAATATTATCGGCTCGAATTTGTGGACTAGTAAATGGCCAATCATAATGCGTCATTTAGATCACATGACCTGATGCCTATATCAATGTTTCTTATAGCATTTTGCACTAACGTTTCACCTCCTGTCTCGTAAATCACTCAATAATGAGATCTTTTGTTAAATTGACAGCAATCAATGCCTAAAACACACACGATGCGCCTTCGACCTTTATATGCCAAAAATATTTTTTTCCGGAAATATCAGCACGTTTCCCTGTATTACCTCACTGGGAGGTCACAACAAAATTCGGAAAACGCCATACTTTCTGATCTTTCACAACTTGTATTTGGGATGCCCCAAGGCAGTGCACTTGGGTCAATTTTGTTTTCCATTTATACCCTTCCACTTGATGCCATCTTACTGTGGTCCGTCTTCACAAACTTGGATATCACTGGTAAGCTTAGGATACTCAGATCTATACTTGCTGTGACATACGTAATCCTAAACCGTTTATGGCTAAAATTACCAACTGTGTGGCTGATATTCACGCCTGGCTCATCAACAACATACTGAAAATTAATAACAGGAAGACTGAGTTCTTATTAATCACGCAACCACACAACATGCAATTTGCACAGAATCTACAGCATGAATTACCAGCAGGCACCAGTGTTGTGAACCCAATACCACATGCGAAAAACCCGAGTGTCTACTTTGACTCCACTCTCTCCAGAGATAGACACATATCAAATATCACTCAATCATGCATTTTTAACATTAGAAACATCGGTGCTATTAAAAACTACCTTGATCAATCCTCCGTGACAGCAGTTATTCATGCGATGATCACCTCTTGTGTGGACTACTGCAACTCTATATGCCTTACCGAAGAACGAAGAGAAATAACTGCAGCGATTCAGAATATTTCAGTGCGTCTTTTAACACTTACAGCCAGGGAGACTCATATTCCACCCATTTTAAAGCAGTTGCGCTGGTTCCTTCTTAGAGCACCCATTTTATTAAAATGTAACTTTTATGCATGCAATTTTTTATCAATCAGCACCCCCGTACCTATAAAAACAAGTAGATCATTATGCTCCAAAACGTAATTTAAGATAACTTGACCAGTTTTTGCTGATGTCATGTTATGCCTGATTTAGAACATACGGCGATCTTGCTCTTCAAGTCTATGGACCAAATGAATGGAACATTCTCCCAATATACATTATATATACTTAAAAACTATAGTCTCAGGACAGTTTTAAAAATAATTAAAAACTTTTATTTTCAAAGTTTTAACATTGAACGTTCTATTTTAATATCTTAACGTTTTAACTGTCTCTATATTTATTTATATATTTAAATATCTTAATATCTTAACTGTCTATTTATTCATTGACTTTATCCATCTTATTCTGTTCATTTTACCCCTGTGAAGTCTACTGTACATTTCATATGGACTTAAGACTATATTATCTATAACCATTAGAATAAAAACCTGTCCAAATCCGTTAAAAAAATCACCGATCAGTAGTACTGTGTGGAGCTCTGAATTAACACAACACGCTGGATACGGCAGAGGAGTACTGATAGCATCAGAAGAGACGTGATTTACCAGAGATTCAGGGTACTGAAAAGCACGAGCAAACCCACGTGGTTTCCCGTGTTGTTTTGGATTAAACCTGCACAGGCTTTCAAATGCGATTATGACTTCTCCTTGTGCTTATCGGCTAAATACTACCAAAATAAATAAATAAATAAATAAATAAGAAAGGGCAAAGAGACTACCTCAGTAACATAGCTTTTATTATGGATTTTTTTCCAAATCATTTTTCTTTGTGATTTTTTCCCACTTTTCCGATTACATAACGAAAACAAGGATTAAAATCGTGTTTTAGCAACTATTAACTTTTCATAATCTAATCAGTGAATTTGTGACATCAGTTCTTTAACTGAATTCACCTAATTTAGTTAACAAAAATACATGGCTGATTCTAAGTCATATTAAGTCATACAACAACCATAAAAACAGTTATTTCGATCTCCATATTTTCCAAATTATCATCTGTAAAAGAGTTATATTTCCCCAGGTCTACCATATGGTAAGTAATTGCTAATGGAGCAGTCCTATGTCTTCTGCATGAAGCATGACACATGTTTACAAAATATGATGTGGGTTTCAGAAACTAATTCATAAGCGCGCTCCATCTTCACATGCGATCTTCAGCTTCATAACTGTAATGGAGTCTTTGTGACACCTATGTGTCATTTTTTCCACTGTGTATCCTTTTTACAAATTCATGCGTTTTAAGTCCAGTCATATTTTGGGTTGTATCATCGGTAAGTCATAAAATAGAAGAGCAGGAAATATGCGGTTTTATATGATAGTTTACGTAGTTATTGTAATTATTTTCGCCATATCATAACTGATATGAATTTTGTCAAAGAGACACGAGGCTGGTGAACTCGAGCAGTTCTGGCAGCTACACCCTGGAGCAGACCATGAGAATGTCATCAAAAGCAACATGCAGCGCGCTGATAGCCTTCGTAAATAATTCTTCGAATCGCACTTCATGATTAAGGAAAGTACAAAAAAAGGGAGGGGAAAAAAAGAGAAACTAATTCAGGATCAACCAGTGATGCTATTACTACCCACGGGAATCTGAATCTGCTGATATTCATTTGAAAGTAAAACGTTATGAGTTTCTATTTCAAACCTGATGGTTACCAGAAACTTGTGTCGGTTTTTTACACACGAACCTGGCAACCAGAAACCATTGACGTTTTTCAAAACCGAGCCTGGCAACCAGAAATCATTGTCGTTTTTCAAAACCGAGCCTGACAACTAGACACTAACCTCAGCGCCCCTCTTATTGAGCCTGAAGTATTCCAATTAGAGAGCTGCTTCGTTCAAGAGAATGCCAGCCACGTAAGTTCACTTTCAAGAAAGCCAATCTAATCCCTGAAGTGTCCACAATGACTGGAATGAAGACAAGTCGCTTCATAAGTGTAACAGTATTAATTACCTCCGCCAAGGAGGTTATGTTTTCACCTCTGTTTGTCTGTCTGTTTGTTTGTTTGTTTGTTTGTTTGTTTGTTTGTTTGTCTGTCATCAACATAACTCAACAAGTTATGGACTGAATTTGATGAAATTTTCAGGAACTGTCAGAAATGGGCCAAGGAAGAGATGATTAGTTTTTGGTGGTGATCCGGATCAACAATCAATCAATAATCAATAATTGATGCCTTGGCGGAGGTCTACGCTCTCGGAGTGCTTTTCTAGTTGTAATCAAGTGATCCCCTAAAAATGGAATGCGCCAAGTTAAGTTGGTGAAACAAGAAATGCGACCTAACTCGCCTAGTTTGTTCTGTCTGTATACAATAGGCCCCGCTTATAACGGCATGGCATAAATTGGACGCTCGCCAATAATGTACGACATTGTGCTAAGTGTGGAAGCGCCACTCCATTCAACCACAAAGAATGGTATACACGCAGTTCCAGTTTAACGGATTTTGTATACTTTTTGTGCAGGGAACAAAAATAAACGGTCCCAGTAAATGCGTTATATGCGTTGTACATGTGTACTGTATATCTATTTTCACAGCTTTCATTAGAGTTCTCCAGTAACGCATCTAAAATATTCAACAAATAAGGGTAAGAATTAAATAGCAACAAAGCACAAGTTGTCAATATTTAAAATCGGCATGTTACACTTAATATACGGGTGAAGACACAGCACATAGAAATGCAATATAGAACTGACAGTTGTACACATTGGGATGGCAAAGGAGAGTACAAACTTGGACACAAGTCAAGGTGATTGTACGGGTGACAAATATTTGACCAAATTCAGTCTAGCGCAAACGGAAAGGAATGTTACCTTTCTGAATTACGTAAGGTACTTTTAATTAATAGTATCAGTGTTTTAAATGGTTGGTTATTGGTTCTGCTCACAGCACTTGGCTGGGCATTGCATTAATAAGCTACTTCTGCTGAATCTTGAGGTGGTCCAGGAAGTTGTAGTCAGTAAGAAGGTGGCATTTATATTCATGTCTATAAATCAGTACGGATCCTTCTCATATTTTAGTGCATTTCTCAGTCGTGATGTATATTATTCAAAATATCTCATCACAGTTTTAATTGCTTCTTTTCCTTATTTTTAAGACAGGACGGGAATGGCCAGAATAGGAGTCATATTACCCAGTATTCTGCTCGGTCTCGTCATTGTGGTGGCCATACAAATCCACGTTCTTCGTGAGACTTATATCGAACTCAGGGAGGAGATGATCAGATTGCATAAGCACACCAATGTAAGGAATGTGCCCGGTGTACCATTGACAGACTACCTAGATTTAGAGTCTGAAAATGCCGACAATTACCTAGATCAATATACCACCGCCTTACACAATACTGACGATGATCAGATGGACGAAGCATCGCAAGGTACTTCGATAGATGCCGACGTTCCACCCCATCAAAACATCGTGATCCTAAAAACGCACAAAACCGCGAGCAGCACCCTCCAGAATATCCTCATGCGATTCGGCATTGAGAGAAACCTAACGTTTGCTATAGGAAAGGGTGTGTACCGTTTAGGCTATCCATACCATTTTCGAAAGAACGACACTTTTCCTCTAAATGTGGATCACATCAACATATTTTGCCACCACGCTCGGTACAGCGACGACATAAAGGAAATCATGCCTTCAGATAGTAAATACATTACGATTCTCCGTGAACCACTTTCCCTTTTCCCTTCCCTCTTTTTTTACTATGATATACCGAGCGTGCTACGCATGAATGTCACAGGTAGCGTTGCCTTGGATACGTTTACATCGAACCCAACGGAATGGACTAGGGCCATTCCCGTGTATGGTTCCTCATTACGGAATCCCATGCTCTTCGATTTAGGACTCCCACTTGCTTCGCTTGGAAATCTTAGCGATATTAGGAGTTATATTCAAAGAATAGACACTGTCTATGACTTGATATTGATATGCGAATATTTTGATGAATCTTTGATTATGATGCGGGATATGTTAAATTGGAGCACAGACGACATAGTATACATCAAACAAAACGCAAGATCAGACGATCATTCAAAACCGATCTCGTCCAAAACTGTAGAGAAATTACGCAAATGGAACGAAGGAGACGAGGTACTTTATGATCACTTTAACAGAACATTTTGGAACAAAGCGAAGAAATATGGCCTTGCAAAGCTTCAACACGAGGTGGCAAAATTTCGCAGTCGTCTGCGTGAGTGGGCGCGCTCATGCGTAAGCGATGTGCCAATTCGTGGTATTGAGATGAAGGACAAGGACTTCCGGCCTTATGGACCAAACACTCTTGTCTATCCCCTGCTGCCGGAACAAAATCAGAACTCGACGTGCCGGCATCTTGTTAAACCCGAGTTGAAATTTACTGTTGAAATAGTTCGTTCTATGTACGCCAGAGGATTGTTTCAATTGCCCTCTACGAGAAATGAAAGCCAGCAAAATGAATATGTGTTGCTAGACGCTTTAGTGAATTCATAAATATAACCTATGCTAATAATCTTCTTCATTTTCAACATTTGCGTCAAAAATGATAAATTTGGTTGCGAGATGATCACACACTAGAACCGTCTTTTCATTGATCAAATGGTATTCACGTTTCCGCTTTCTGGCCCCGGTTTCACACACACACACACACAAAAAAAAAAAAACAACAACTTAAGGCAGGCTTCCTGGCTAAGAACTTAATTACCAAGGTAACACGGTCACATTGGCACATCTTATCCTATCAGAAGCAGTGTAACAGCACTCTCATGGAAATCCTAGTCAACTAAGCCAGGAAACTGACTTAAGATTTTTTGTGAAACTGGGGCCAGATCTCTATAATAAGTCATATACGTGGGGCTGACAGTTTCTGAGCATAAATTGTTATATGTGAAATAGTTTCATTGGATCTCAGTTTTGAATATTTCGTTTTTATGTCACGAATAGACAAGAAGAATTTATTGTATCTTACACCCCATTTCCATAGATTTTTAGATCGATCTATCCCTGTGGGGAGTCTCACTAGATTACGGTCAGCTTGGTCGGCTTAAGCGTCTGTCCCGCCTACTAAAAGCTGTAAGGGGGTAATTAACTATGGTGCCCGCTCGGCTGACTGCAATTTAGCGTGAACCCCCAGGGAGTTAGGTCGATCTAAAACTTAATCTTTAGATCGATCTAAATCTCTGGGAAAGCACTCTTACGCACCGATGTGCATATGGATATATACATGTAACTATACAATTAAGAATGTTCTCACAAGATTAAACAACGTGATAACTATATCATTTATCTCAATATATTTAACACTTTACCACAACGTGATAACAATTTAATTGGGAATGACAGGCGAGAGAAGCCAGAGACTTCTTGGGCATGTCCATGTTTTTCTTTGTTGCAAAAAATAGCATGTTTTTACAGTGAATTACTTGGAGGATAAAAGGGTCCTGCCGCTTTTCCAAAATTACACACTTGCCGTATATAGCAACGAACTTTTTGTAGAATTATTCAACAAAGAATGTCTAATGATTAAACCGTGTACGCATGCGCAAGGAACCCTAGATATAAGCATTCTTTAATGTTCATGACATATAAACGGATTCCCTATTTAATCTCAACGTAAACACATAAAGCTTATGAAAACGAAGACATAATGAGAGATTTGCGTAAATTGCCCGAGGATTTTAAAGTATGTGTTACTTTTAGGTATTGCTTCTGAATAACACATTTTTTTAATATCATAATTCAAATCTCCTTATACAAATTCGTCAAATCTCCTTACACAAATCTCCTTAATTCCCTACAACCGATTTTTTCCCCCTTTTTTTCAAATCATGTGTACACTTCTGAAAATGTTGCTCTGGTATCTTTTTGTTAGCCAAATCGGGGAATAGAACCAAATGTGCATACAAAAATATTTAACATTTTCTTAAAATTTTAGCAAATAAAGGATCCGATATCCCCAGGTCTTTTACGTCGATCATTCATACCTGGTTTGATAAAATCTGGCATATTTCTAAAATAAAATTTACCTTAAAGGATTATTACTCCTGGCTACATATTTATAAATTCTGAATAAAAAGTGCTAATAATGATAACCACAAGTCATATGGTTACTGGTGCAACAGTGCAACAGAAATCACGACATTAATTTTGAGATGAGTTATATATTTCACAAATTTTAAAAGTAATATATTTTAACTGTCAATAATAGGGAAACTGAATAAGTGAAAGCACACATCTTACAATTTTTTTTACCTACAGGTGTACTAGGCCATTTATTTTGAATAGTTTTCTCAATTTTCCATTAACAATGGCGGACATCTTGAAAATGACCGCCATCTTGAAAGTCTGAGACGCAAGATTTTGTAGCCCAAATTCTCACTTCCCACAAAATCGATGTTTTAGGTGATTTTATCAATAACTAATATATTTAGCACTAGGAATTACTGCGGCCATCTAAGGTTTTGTCCGTTTCCATGACAATCTGCCATTTCCGCATCACGGTTTATTGTTTCCTACATGTTTTCAAGTGTTGCATTATTTTTGTTTTTGTATAGAGGTGACCCTAGAACTCCTTAAATTCTAATTCATAATGTGCAGCTCACCTGCATCTTTACCTATATTTTTTCGCACAGTAAAAAGAACCAAATTCAGTAAAAAAAAAAAAAAGGGGGGGGGGGATTTTACCTGTGACCACCTGTGTTTTAAAACCCACGACTGCTTAAAGGTCCACTCCATGGGTTTGAAAAGCCCCCAAATGTTTATTTTTGCCATCCATCGCTTCTTATAAAGCCTTTTATACATCCCGTAAACGACTTCACCCCTTAAATAATTTTTAGTGTGACCCTGATGTTGATACTTCCTTCGGAGCTTGGGACGATGGTCGCTGCTTATGATGACTGACCAAGCTTGGGACGATGGTCGCTGCTTATGATGACTGACCAGTCATTAAAAACTAAATCAACCTTTAAAATTTTAATTAAAGGCGAATCCAAGTGCAGAGAGGGATAGATATAAGATTCGTGAGCACGAGAAAATAGCTTTTTTTTCAAGAAATTCCATTTTGGCGGGTTAATCCTATGGAGTTGTCCTTAAAACACCATTAACAGACAGACACACACACACACACACACACACACACACACCAGTGTTTTAACCATTGATTCTGAAATAGGAGCCGATGTCAGTAAATTCTCAACTGGATAAATCACTATGTATCATCTTTCAAGACTAGACCCCAGCCTTGGAATTACCTTCAATGGACAAAAAAAGCACTGAATCACGACTTAGTTTTCATTAGAGATCTGTTATTTCGTGCATGTCCTGTTTGTTTACATAAAGATGCGATAATTGCTGTAGAGATGCGTCAAAGGAAAATCTGACGTTGGTACGTTTCCTCCAGTCTCAATAGTCCCAATTTGGAGTCTAGAAATACTCTAGGCTTATCCTGTCTTTAGGGTCTCTGGCCTTTTCTGCAATAGCCTTGACGTGAAAGGTAAACTATCCAATGTCCTTTATTATGACTAGAGTGCATTTGGCGCTGCAGTCCATCGTACGTTTCCTAAAAATTCCTGGAGCGAGGGGTCTGCAAGCATTTTACTGAATAGGAGCAACAATGAGGCATTGTCTGAAGGAGCCGTGGATGATAAAGCAATATTTATAAATTTTTAGAACTTTCATACACTCACTAAAATCATTAATACTGTTTAAGTGAAAAAAAAAACATTTGAAGACAATAGTAGAAACGGAAGAAACCAAAGGCACTCTATTTGAGAAAATAAACTGACATGTATATATTTATGAGACCGTCACAAAACAGTTATTGTCAAACAATTATTCTTTGGGGAACCATATTCTGTCATGCCGACTGCTTTTACTCGAGAAAGGAGTGTTTGCAAATATAAAGACAACACGGTACTTGCTCTTGAGAAGAACCGCGGTTCGTTAGAGCTTTGATAATGCATGGTACAATATTGTTATTTAAAAGCAGTCAGATTTTCAGCACACAGTTTTTGAGTTTAAGTATACAATGCACAATTGTGGGTGCGCCTTCAGTCTTTCCTCTAGGCATATGACACAAAGAGAGTGCCAGAGAAAAGGCACAAGTGCCTTACTATAAAGAAGCAAATGCAAAAAGCAAGCCCGAAGAACTATTAGTACATAATTATCACAATAACAAATTTATCAGATTAAATGAGCCATCGGCTTTCTCAGGGCAAATAAGACGTTCTTTCCCGGACAAAATCATTATATTAACGATGCAAACGATGACCAAATTGCACTTGCGGTCTATATACAATTATATAATAATCGTCACATGCTGAACATATGTAACAAGCTCAGTGACACGCTTAAAAAGCCGAGGAACGCTTGACGCAGTCAGTATTCTACCGACTGCGATCCTGTCAGGAACGTCAAGTATCTCGAATGCTACGCCTTCATCGTATTTGGTCGTGTTATATTTCACAGTGCAGTTCTTAGGATTATGGCACTAGGTCTAAACGACACGATGTCAGCGATGGATATACATCATCCCCATTGGAGTCTATTTCCACCAATATCACCTACGTTTCATGTTGTAGCAGCCACGCTTTTGACAATATCGGCAATAGTGTCTGTTGTAGGAAATGGAACCATTGCGTTCGCCTTCTGTAGGTAAGTCAAGTGTTGTAACGTTATGAGACATAACGTACTTTTTTTCAGTAGAGGATCGTGACCAAAGCAGTTGATTTAACGTCTCGTTAAACTATTCTGCCACTGGGATCTTTTCAAAAATGCTGTCAAATAACTGATTTTTATTCTTTAATTAATTGGTTCGAGTGCTTTTTACAAGACCGTGACCTAACAGATACCTGTAGATAATATCTTCAAATATGACACGATAAATATTAAAGATATTCTACCCAGTATTTCCCCGCCAAATCGAAATTTATCAATATACTCTTCTCGACATGATGGCTGCATGGGGTGGACTTTTTTTATATCTTCCCTTATATCTTCCCTTCTGTATATCACGATCACAATTACCAACCCTTTAATCTTGTTACGTTGTGAACTCATGTTTAGGGGTATTTAAAGTTGTGTACAATCCGATCTGGTTGATTGTTTTGTGGGAATATTTTTGAAGTCCTTACCTGCTCTAGCGATTTCTGTAAAGAAAGGTCCACGCATGCATATACCTGTTTTTGTAACATGACCGTTGCAATCGTAACTGTATATTTACTTGACAAATTAATTATTGTCCATTCTATTTTGTGGCAAAATTATGTGGCAAATTTTGAATAATTGCTTGAGAATAGTTTTTTAAAAAAAGAATATCTACTCAGATTTCCCTTCAGTGCGTTGTTGCTCCAATGCTCCAGATTCTGAGGAATTTTTGGCGGATTCCAATGCACTGTACCACTGTACTTGGGGGTTAGTGTTTATCCTAAGAGTGACGCCCCCCACCCCTCCCCCCCCCCCCCCCCCCCCCCCCCC